GTGATATGAACTCCCATGGTACTGGGTGGGGCGATCTATATGACGACAATAAAGCGGCTATTTTTTACGATTTATGCGACGATTTCAACTTGACTATTTTGAACACTGGTGAAGCGACACGTATAGCAAAACCTCCGGCTCGAGAAAGCCAACTCGACCTATCTTTGTGTTCAAGATCGCTATCATTGGATTGTCAGTGGAAGGTTATCAATGATCCCCATGGTAGCGATCATTTGCCAATCATCATTTCAATAAAGTGTGGCCCTCACTCTGCAGAACCATCTCGGGTTCCATTTGATCTTACAAGGAACATCGACTGGCAGAAATATGCAACGGCGGTGACAATCGGTGTCGAATCAATAGATGCGCTTCCACCATTGGAAGAATATCGATTCCTAGCCGATTTGATTTACAAAAGCTCACTGGAAGCACAAAAAAGAAAAGTTCCAAGTGCACCCTTTAAAAGGAGACCAGCCACACCTGGTTGGGACGAAGAATGCACAAAATTGTATGTAGAAAAATCTGATGCTTTCAAAGCTTTTCGTAGACACAAAACCTCCACTTACTTCGAGGAATATTCAAAGCTTGAGACAAAGCTGAAACAATTAATCAAAGCAAAAAAACGCGGTTATTGGCGCAATTTCGTCGAGGGACTCTCACGAGAAACTTCAATGAACACCTTGTGGAGGGTGGCTCGCAACATGCGTAACCGCTCATCTTTCAATGAGAGTGAAGAATACTCCAACCGATGGATATTCGATTTCGCTAAAAAGGTCTGTCCGGACTCAGTTCCAGCACAAAATATTCTTCGAGAAGCGTCTCCTAGCGGCGGCTCTCTGGATAGACCATTCTCAATGCTGGATTTCTCTATGGCTCTTCTTTCATCGAACAACTCCTCACCGGGAAGCGATATGATTAAATTCAATCTTCTGAAAAATCTCCCAGATATCGCTAAAAGACGCTTACTAGACTTATTCAATTCCTTACTAGAAAACAACATTGTACCGCCTGAATGGAGACAGGTCAAAGTAATAGCCATTAAAAAACCTGGCAAATCAGCGTCTGACCATAACTCATACCGTCCGATTGCTATGCTTTCGTGCATTAGGAAATTGTTGGAGAAAATGATCCTTCGGAGACTCGATCACTGGGTCGAATCAAATAACTTGCTATCAAATACACAGTTTGGGTTCCGCAAGAGCAAAGGAACAAACGATTGTCTAGCGCTGCTTTCCACAGATATTCAACTGGCCTTTGCACACAAGGAGCAATTGGCTTCAGTATTCTTGGACATTAAGGGGGCTTTTGATTCAGTTTCCATTGAAATTCTGTCAGACAATCTGCACAGATGTGGACTTTCTGGAATTTTAAATAATTTCTTGTACAATTTGTTGTCAGAAAAGCAAATGAACTTTTCTCTTGGAAAACTGACAACTTCCAGAATTAGTTACATGGGCCTGCCCCAAGGCTCATGTCTCAGCCCTCTTCTTTATAACTTTTATGTCAAAGATATCGACAACTGTTTGGCAGAACAATGCACGCTAAGACAACTTGCAGATGACGGTGTGGTTTCCGTAAGAGGTCCACATGCCGTGGACTTGCAAGGACCATTGCAAAATTCCTTAGATAACTTGTCTTATTGGGCTATGAATCTAGGGATCGAATTCTCGCCGCAGAAAACTGAACTGGTAGTGTTTACTCGAAAGAGGTACCCAGCCCAAATGCATCTTAATCTTTTGGGCAGAAACATTACTCAATCATTGTCTTTCAAGTACCTTGGGGTCTGGTTTGATTCAAAGTGCACTTGGAATGCCCATATTACGTATTTGAAGCAAAAATGTCAGCAGAGGATCAACTTTCTCCGTTCAATTTGCGGCACATGGTGGGGTGCTCATCCGGGAGACCTCATAACGCTTTATAAAACAACTATTCTCTCTGTTCTAGAGTACGGCTCTTTCTGCTTTCTCTCGGCAAGAAAAAGTCACCTAATAAAATTGGAACGAATTCAATATCGTTGTCTGCGTATTGCTCTAGGCTGTATGCACTCAACGCATAACATGAGTCTCGAGGTTCTGGCAGGAGTAAAACCCCTCCAGAACTGTTTCTGGGAGCTCTCTCTCAGATTACTAATCAAATGCGGAGTGACGAACACACTTATAATTGCTAATTTTGAAGAAATTCTTGGGTTGAACACACAATCTCGATTTATGAGAATCTACCACCACTACATATCATCAGATATGTGTCTTCCTTGTTATACTCCAGACCGTGTTCACTTCACCAATCGCAGTTCCTCAATTGAATATGATCTGACCATGAAACAAGCAACTCATGGGATTCCCGATCAACTTCGACCTATTATTATCCCACGTATTTTTACTGAAAAGTACCAACAAGTCAATTGCATGAAAAGATATTTTACAGACGGGTTCCGTCTCAATGGATCCACTGGCTTCGGTGTCTTCAATGAAAACTCTAGCGCCTTCCGCAAACTTCAGGAACCTTGTTCCGTTTTTGTTGCTGAGCTGGCAGCAATCAACTTCGCATTGGGGATGATTTCCAATATGCCCACAGACCATTACTTCATCTTCTCGGATAGTCTCAGTTCGATTGAGGCTATTCGGTCGATGAAACAAGGTAGGCACTCATCTTATTTCCTTTCAAAGGTAAGGGAGCAGATGAGTGTGCTGGTCGAAAGATCATATGTGATTACCTTTGTTTGGGTCCCCTCACATTGCTTAATCCCAGGCAATGAGAAGGCGGACTCTCTCGCAAAGGTGGGCGCGCAGGAACGCGAATTGTATGACAGGCAAATTTCACACGATGAATTTTACCATTTAGTGCGTCAGAGTACCTTTTCGAGTTGGCAAACCGATTGGGACACTGGAAATCTTGGACGGTGGTTACATTCAATTATTCCTAATGTTTCTTCGAGAGCGTGGTTTAAAGGCTTGGGCTTAAGTCGTGACTTCATTCGCGTGATGAGTAGACTTATGTCCAACCACTACTCGCTAGATGCTCATCTCAATAGAATAAACCTCGTGGACAGCAACATCTGTCGGTGTGGAAACGGTTACGATGACATCGAACACGCAGTTTGGCAATGTACGGATAATGACGCCGCCAGAGAGCGACTTTTGAATACCCTCGAGGCCCAAGGAAGACAACCCTATGTTCCTATCAGAGACGTGTTGGCAACCCGTGATCTCTGTTATATGCAGTCCGTTTATGTTTTTCTTCAAATGTCTAGTATAAAAATTTAATTCCTTTTGTCTTTTGTCTCTCTTTATTAGTTTTTGTTTGTCTTGTCCCCCCGTCTCGATGAGTCTCATCGTCGCCCACTGGTCACCCACCATAGCCGGTCGAACTCCGGACGAAGCTAGAACAGCACTACCGTTCATACTGGCGACAACGCTCTGATGAGACAACGAAACCCTACCCCAAGCTCCTCCCCTGATCCTATCCTTCGAAAATGTACCCTTCTAACCTCGAGTAAGCCACGAGTAATCGGCCCAACTCCTACTAGACATAGAATTAAGTGAATTTTGTTACACACAGTGAACAATGAATTATCGGCTCCGTAAAGCTAACGCGATTGAGCCTTCCAAATAAACGAACTAGATAAAAAAAAAGGTAGCGGTCACTGCAACCCATGCAAAAATTTGGCTGCTGTCGTGATCAATGTGTTAGTGTTGCAAATCGCTCCACCAATGAACAAAAACAAGTTTTTGTCGGAAGAATTCGGCGCTACACTGAAAACAAGGAAGCATTGGATGAAGATTCCAAATGCTGTTTTCAGATGGTTGCCAACGGGAATGGAACTTGAATCGACAGAAAAAAAGAAAAACAAGCAACAACATCGGCCATCTGTAATCGGTATTTATTTAGATAACGAAAATTAATTACTTACGAAAAATATCTACGATTCTCTCATCTTGATGTTGCATAACAGCCTCCATAATTTCACCTTTTTATTTTTCACAAACACACGAACGTTTTTAAAGTCGATCGAAAATCACAATATGGTGGATTTGACGTTTACCGAGACCGTTACCGAAATCAATAATGGAACGCTTACGTTTACCGAAACTTCAGTAAAATATTTCACCGACGTCAGTGATGAAGCTGATTTACAGACCTGCCGGTAAAAATGTTAACTTAAATTAAAATGAAATTACCGAGCTTCGGTCATTTCATTTACAGTTTTCAGCAATAAAGCGAGAAAATACCGAAACATCTGTAATTTTTAGGATTACCGATCAAAGACGGTAATTTTTTTATCGAACTCATGGTCTCTGTTTAAGTATGTAATAGGTAGCTCATAGGTGGATACACTTTGTTAAAATGTTGAAATGCCATAAGATAATATTTACACGATTTTTTTAGGAGATTGGTAAGACAATATTTAATAGCTGGAAAATAATGACATACTTAATAGATACGGAACGGTTCGTTAATCGGGATATTTCATTTTTTAAATAAATTTTACGTCTAAGTTGCAACATAATAACTGATGGGTGACAATTGAATGACTAAAGCACCATGATAAAATATACGTACAATGTTGAGCATAGTAGGCAGAGATAATCAATTTTTTAAGTGCCCGGATTTCGAATCTTTACGATGTATTGAATACAACAAACTACCCCATTGACCAACGATCCCAATCTGGATAAAAGAAGCTGAAAATTTGAAATTTAAAACTCGAATCTAGCAATGAAGAATTATAATTCTAATTCCAAGCCATCAGAACGATGACATCTGCCAATCAACGCCAAACCGTTGTAAAATAAATATTGTTCTGATTTATGACTATCATAAAACAAAAAGCTTCGCCGAACTGGTTCTGTAATTCACACGAGTATGGTAAAATTTGCGTCAACGCGTTTTCCCCCTCTGCCAATATAAAAATAGCCTTCAAGAGTTGTATGTAAGATGAACGGGCACATTTGATTACTTCCGAGAAGACTCTCCACCATAAAAAGTTAATCATCACTCACCGAATAGCTCATGACGGTAGCTGTCCAAATTGAGAAGTGTTGACATGATGACTGCCTCCCCGATGATGGTCCCTAATGATCACTTTGTACAATATCACTCGCTCACTATCTTATCTTCGTTATCACTCTCCACCAGGGCGAAAGTTATAGCACAAACTCACAAATCAATTTTTCCTCGATACGATCCAAACTCAACACGTCCCGTCCCGGTCCACATATATATATATGTATTTAAAATCAACTCGTTTCACTTGCCTGCACTCTTATCAAACGTAGCTTTGTAATAACACAAAATCCAAAACATTTCCCATTTCTGAGAATTAATTCACTCGGATGCGAAGCACACAACACACAATCTTCGGCCTTTAATTATCAGCAACTAGATGTGCTCACAAAATCGCCAACCGAAACCCTGCCGCTTATCTGCGTTGCAACTTTGTTTACTTGCCTACCCGGCTGGTGTGCGATTGAAAGCTCTCCTACGATTTCACAATCATTTATAGACTTCCGAAAGCTTTCCGTGGAACTACTCCTACTGCATGTCGTTGTGATCTGCGCCGTTCAAGCTCAGGATCTACACTGATCGTGGCCGGTTCCTGCTACCAACTGCGTAGTCGTCTTGTTTCGGAAATACATACTACACTTTAGAACTATAGAACACTCTGAATCACACACTCTACTTAACCGAAGAACGTCTGAAGCGCTGCAAATGCATCTTAATTATTATTCATCCACAGTCACAGCAGCGAATACATCACGTAAATTTGATATAAACTGGTTACGGCCACTGTGTGTATGCTGGTAGAGGCCCATTTGCGGTCGATCGACGTGTGATTCCCCGGAGCCACTTGTTTGCCTTTTGTTTGTGGAAAGCACTATACCCAGTACGAGAATGACATCATCGCGAATCGAGTGAAGCTCCCCCGATTGGGCGCTCAGTGAGATCCACGGGGAGCACAAAAACAAAGCACCCGCGATTTACCGCGAGGCTGCTGCTGTTGAAGTTTACGCGAGTTCGCGAGCGACACCGTTCGCTCGACAGCAAGCGGCCTGAGTGAAAACTTCTCAATCGATAAAATGTGATTGCTCTTTTGTGGCTGTAGTTCCATGCGAAAATGACCACGTGTTTGTCTGGTGTGTAATAACTGTTATCATGGAGACGCTTGGTTGCAACCGTGGATTTTGAAGCTGGATTCCGTCCTGAGCGATATTTCGAACGCGCGGGGCGAGATTTTGCGACGGTACGAGAGAGAGAGAAAAGAAATAGTTGTCTCTCTTATGGCAACGCAAATTTTGGTCCGCTCCGCTAATGCACGCTCAGATGTGAATAGACCGTACCAAGCGTAGCAACTAAAGGTGAACAGATACCTACATAGACTCAAGATAACTACACACTTAATCTAGCTCGGTAAAATCTCCAACAGCCGATTACCTCGGCAGTAACTTTTGCTGATATATCTGCAAAATATCTGTTTGTTAGCTGATATCTCAGCAAAATTTTATTTGTTAGCTGAGTATCGGCAATTGTTTTACTGAATCTCAGCTAAATAAATTGCAGAAATACTCGGCTATTGGATTCTCGGCGAAAAAATTTAAGTGTGTATACCCTTATAAAATCGATAAGACAAACCAAATTGGTCCTATAAGAATGCATGAACGGTATGTGTGACCATTTATACATTTAATTTGTCACATGATCTTCATTAGCTTTTATCGAAGACAACAAATCAAGAAGACTGGCAACTTTGCCAGAATCCAAGCGACAAATACAATTAACCACTTCATTCGAGCAGATAAAATGACGTTTACTACCACTCGATCTTTGAAATGAAACATTATTTTGAGATTTTTTCTTCTAGAACCTCGAGAAAAGTAGCCAAAATTTTGTGCGTTTCATAAAAAAATAGAAATTAGTTGGTCCAGTTTTGTGAAATCGCTGGTAGAAAGTCACGCCAAAACTGCTTGACAAAGTGGTCAATTAGGTTTTGCACCGTTGGGGTTAACCTCAATCTGATGACAGTTCAGTGGTACTGTTTACGTGAACTTTGTCGATTTTTTCATGGGTAGATTTTCTGGATATTTTTTTTCAGATTGCAGTGTCCACGAGCAACATCCTTTCACCACGCATTTCCTCGACCATTTTCAAGTTAAAATTCGGAAATTTTAAAATATATATTTCTCGAAAAAACGACTAAGTGCTTGTAAACAGTACCACCACAAACGAAGTGACAGACGACTAACTGGCGAAGAAATCAATTAAAATAATGTGGTTCGCTGTAATAGAATTTTCTTAGAAGCTTGTGCCATCAACCACCAGATGGGTTAGTTTTTTTGTTTTTATTTGAACAAAGTTGATTTTGTGTACAATGATTCTTTGCAAGTGTGCAAAGAGTGTATCATTTTGTCATTTTTTTATGCATTTCAGTTTTGAGTAGAGTGAAAGAGATAGAACCAAAAAATTCTAGTACATTTGGTGAAAATGCTAGTTCAATCTAGTAGTAGTGTTGACATGTGGTACAATCCAGTAGTAGTGGTGTTGCCATGTGGTACACTGAAAAATTGCAATAGCAGGTTAGTCACCAAAGTTTTCGAGCTGCTCCGTCTGTCACTTCGTTTGTGGTACCACTGAACTGTCGCAAAGGTTCAGCCGATTAACACTGAGTTCATTTGTGACGTCAAGCTGCAGTACCTAATTAGGTTCTGCAGCGTGACGTCACAAATGAACTCAGTGTGGCTCAGGCTGAACCTTTTTGACAGTTCAGTGGTACTGTTTACAAGCACTTAGTCGTTTTTTCGAAAGAACAAATTCTAAAATTTCCGAAAATTGTCGAGGAACAGTGCGGTGAAAGGATGTTGCTCGTGGACAATGCAGAAGTGTGGTTTACATCTCACTGCAGTCTGAAAAATTATCGAGAAAATCTACCCAAGAAAAAAACGACTAAGTCCACGTAAACAGTACCACTGAACTGTCATCAGATTGAGGTTAACCCCGACGGTGCAAAACCTAATAAGTGAAGGTGGAAGCAACGCATAGAAAAATTAGCAAATACACAAGCCCTTCTTCTGATGACAAGGTTGCAAATACTCATTTCAGCTAAAATAATGTTTTTCGGAATAATAAAACCAAAAGGTGGTATGATGACATGTTTTACTTGTAACTTACAAGAAGAGGTTACACAGTATGCGTTTGAAACATAAAACCTGTAAATTTTACTTTCTATGAGTCACAATCAGCGATTTGCTGATCGCTGAGTGAGTGAGTGAGTGAGTGAGTTAGTATGTGAAAAATCGCAGATTGTGACTCTCATGAAGTGAAATAAACAGGTTTAATATGTCAAACACATTCTGGGCAACCTCTTCTTGTATCTTACCTATTCAAAATATGATCATAGCATCTAATTATTTCATAATTAAAACAAAAACATTGTTTTAGCTGAAATGAGTATTTGCAACCTTGTCTGAGGCGACACATCCAGATTATCTCGCGTTTACCAAAAATCTCACATATCTTTTGATCATTTATTTACCGTGAACTATCTGTTTTTATCTGTGGCATCTATCCATCTACTCTCGCAAATTGCGATCCACTCATATTTTTTCGTGATTGAACCTATCGTCGAACGAGCAAAAGCAGCAAGCAAGGCAGCAAACCAATTAGCGTTGACAACACCGTTGAAAAATCGTTTCTTCTAGCAAAAATTGACAGTATCTATGGGTATTTTCGGTGGAGTGAGGACGTTTGTTTACTGGATTTTCCATAGAAGTAAAGAGCTACAGAGAGCGCAATTAACAAGTGAAAGTGCGTGGAATAAGTTTCCTTTTCATTTGGACGATAATGAATGGATAATTGGAATGATTTGCTGCTGTCGGCCGGATTGTTTATCATCCGCAGTAACAACAACTGATGGGCCAAGCGCTGTCCAATAGGATGGTATGCAATGGATGGCTGGACAAACTGTCCTAGGCTAGTGCTGAAGTAATTCTATCAATAAATATTAAACTTATTTATTTATTGTAATAATATTTATTTTTTACAGTCGAGATAATACAGGACGTGGTAACTGATCGGATAAGTTCAAGAGAAAAGTCAATAAAATGTCTGATATATTTCATGGTGAAAAACTGTTGTGGGAACAGATATCTAGAAACTAATGGAAAATCATATAAGTTTGCATTATGAGAAAATTCAGTAAAATATACCTGTTTTCATGATGAATATTGCTCACTAAAATATATATCTTATAAGATAATTATGTTTATTTTATTGGAGTTGCTTTTAAGGATTTTTGACGTTTGTTGATATGTCGCGTGTAAACAGACATGTAGAAACTATTGGACAGTCATTTAACTTTGCAGTACAAGAAAATATGTACATCTCATTGTAATAGCTTCTTTCGATTTTTGACGTTTAAAGATTGTAAACAGATCTATATCAATCATTATATAGTCATATAGATTTGCCTTTTAAGAAATCCAACAGCAAACATTTGTTTTGGCATGGTTTTCTGGGATGAACATCGCTCCCATTAAAATACATCTTATATGATTGTTCTTCATAAATTATTGAAACAATTTTCAATGATGTTAATGTACATTCACTAAAATGATTAGTCGAACTAAATATAGCTAACAACAATGATAATGTATTGAATATTCCTTGTTTGTTATTGTACCATAAGATAAGGGGTTCCGGAAAAGAATGTATTGAGATTGAAAAAAATGATTCTACTGCAATATTTACTTTGCTAAGATTCTAATTGTAAGCCTTCTACACACACTTAGAAATTATCGCCGACTTCGATAATTTTTACCGAAATCTGAACAGCTGAATTGTTCGGTAAAAGCTACTTTGAAACTAAATCTCTACTAAAATGACAAGATTTTATCATTTAAACAAGGTTGAACATGTTTTGAAACTATTTTCAAATTCAATTGCCTTTAAAATGTAGGTCAAAGTTTTACCGAATGTTCAGGTAAAATTTACCGAACACGGAAACAAAATCTTAGTGTGCAAGGCTAATTCAGATTCCAGCACTAGTACTCGAACTTCATAAACCAGTTCCATGAACTCATATAATGTAGTCGTTGTTTTATTGCACACAGAGCATTAAGAAAGATTTGAATACACGACACCACCGAAACGGAGCATAAATTTGTCAGTGCTATTTGTCTTCACTCTAGCAAAACGAGCATAAAGTTGCACTACATTCCATGTCGGGAGAGCTGTTCTTACTTCATGCTAATTGAACGAGCTCTATCTAGAAGCCAGCCGTGGCCCAGTGGAACCAAGCGAAGACACCGACAACATCACACCTCAACAGTCCTGGATCGAATCCAAAATACGCTACAATAAAAAACGCAGCTGTGAAAGCTCCCCACTGCCTGATGTTTATTTTTCGATTTATTTTTAGAAGTCGATTAAATATATGTCAAAAGAAGAAGTAAATTTCATGTGATTTTCACATACACTTAACTTCGATTGATTTATGACACATATATTGTATTGTGGTGAAAAGTAAAGCTTATGCTTAGGGGGTTTCAAATCCATTTCAGTTAATTATTATAATTTGACCGATTTTCATTTATCATATGACGACCATATAAAAGTTACCAAATTATCAGCATTGTAAATGTATCAGGTATTCATATAGAATTTACCTGACACATTTTCAATCATATCATTTTCATTGGATTATCTTATAGCGCAAATTTATTAGACTTCC